TCTTAGTCCGGGCGTTAGGTAGACTGATTGTGCCAGAGTTTCTGAGTGACCTTACGCGTCCCGTGGCACCTGACCTAGTGGGCGGAACTTATAATATATCAAACGTTATAATATATGTAGATTTTAACTCTTTAACTTCCTGTTGAGCTGTCTGCCCTATTTTTATTAACATATCAGATATAACGACCTGCATGGACACGGCGGTACGGTTAGGTGTTTCTGACCAGTATAAAGAAATTGAAGTCGCACAAAATTGCGATGGGAAGGACGACTGCAGGACGGGTGTTGATGAGAATCCACGGAGATGTGGTGAGCAAAGTAGCTTTTCCTAGCTGCTTTTGTTTTTTTTCCTATTGAATACTAATTTATTTCCTCTAACTAGTACAGTAATTTATTTTGTCTAACTTATGAGAGTTCAATAAGTTTATTCGGTTTCATTGGATGATTTATTATGAGACCTCCGAGCACTCTCAATGCAGTAATTTTTTTAAAAGGTCAATTAATTTGCATCATAGAAGTGTCTGATAAGGTCACAATTGCGTATAAATTATATCAGTTGATCTTTTCTATCTAGATAATACAATTTATCAATGTACGTATTTTAACAAAGAAAGGTAATAGCAGCATTTTTCTTTACTGTAAAAATGTTACATGTCTTAAAGTGGGAAATTCCTGTCATTTTTTTTTTCAGCCATGTACACAGACCGACTGCCGTGCGTCAAATCCAACAGATTTGTGCCGGCAAACAGCTTCTGTAATGGATTTCCTGACTGCCATGATGCTTCAGATGAGGACGCCTGTATTGGTAAGCCTTAATGACAATGGAATTTATTGCATATTCATGCCCCAGTGGGGCTAAATGCACTTTTAGATTACAAAAAGGATTAGACATACTATGCTATGTTCTATCTAAGCTGTACATGTTTCTTCTCTCTTCTTTAGACATTTGTATACGAATTTACAGAGTTTTTCTAATACATCATGGTTAACTCAAGACAATTTTTGTATGATCCTTTGTTAGATGCGCCCATTTTTGCTTTGTGTTTCAACAAAAAAGGTAGATCGTAGATCGCTATACAGTGGAAACTCAACAATAAAGTGGACTTCATTTTCCATAGTATCATATCACATAATGTACATAACCTATCATTAAGGGGAGTTCGGGTGTTTCAACTTGTAGTAGATGGTCGCTGATTCTTAATTTGGTCATCGCACGTCTTTGGCTAAAGAGGGGTTGTGTAAACAATTTTCAATGATTTCGGGTTGTCATTATATTTAGCCATGTCAAGACATGTTGATATGGCGATCTATAACATGTTCGTCCCCTATGGTCTTTTTCCAGTACAACATTAGAATTTTCATTTTATCCCTCCAGTAATTGGAAAATGATTTCAAAACGCATTAAAGGACATATTCGAAATTAAAGATACAAAATCAAAATGCAAAATTTTCCAGTTCTATTCAACGATAACTTTTCATGGTTCTCCTGAGATCATGTTATATACATTAAGAATATTCAACTGGAGATTTATCTCGAAATGTAATTAGATTATTAGTTGATTGTGGCACTGCATTGGGCACAGGGACCAGTCCAAATGTCACTGTTGTTAGCTGTTAGAAGCACACTGTGCTTGATCATTTTGGAACAGTTAGGCAAACCATTGGTAACTCTGTTTAACACAATTCTTTCCAACGGCATTGAACTGGAATACGAGGGTAGTTACACCAATCTGCTAGTCAGGCAACAAGTCCAATGTGGATAGTTACCGAGGAATAGCGATCTGGAGTTGTCTGTCAAACCGCTTCACACTCCTTTTGAATAATATAGTAGATTACAGAACTTTGCAGAAAGTTATTGTCTGCTAGCTGACACGCAATTTGTTTTTAGAAAGAAATGCCGAAGCTCGGACAATTATGTTTTTTTTCTGAAAGCTTTAATTGAAAAATATCTGCAGAAGAAGAGGGGTAACTATATGTTTGCTTTGTCGATTTGAAGAAGGCATTTGACAGCGAATGGCGGGATGGCTTATTCTATAAACTGTCAAACTATGGTGTCTCCGGTCAATTTTCAATGTATTTCAATTTATCCCAATTTCTCCAAAATACTATTCTTCTTTAAACTTCTCAAAACCCAAAAATTTTGGAAAAGGTGGGACATTACCTCTTCCATTGTTTACAGAAAAGAAGACAAACCCTTCAGACATAGTTTTAGACAAAGTTATAGTTCTAGACAGCTACCTTTCATCATGTAGACTTCATCATTTATACTCTGTTACAATGTTGTTTTAGTTTTGTAATTTGCAATTAGCCTCCGGGCACGAATTTGCAATAAACTTTTCAATAAAAAAACGCAGCAGAACGTCTTGAAAAAATACCATTTTGTCGTATTCAATCATTGTTTTATAACATTTTTGTCGCAGGCATTGGAGCTTGTTTGCTACCTGTAGATCTACTAGTGAATGATTATACAGTTACTGAAGGCTTTGGAGCACGTCATTTAAACCACGGTAGCCTAGGTCTGTCCCTGACGGAATGGGTTGTTGATAACCTTGAGGACTGGCTGCAAATCACCCTCGAACATCCTGTCCAGCTGGCCGCTATAGTTGTTTCCGGTCCCAGGTCATCGCATCCTCCCCCATTTACGTTGAAATACGGGCTTGGGACCGACTGTTTAACAACCTACATGGAGGCGGGTGAAATTAAGGTATCTAATTTCTATTGTTTCTTTTGGAGATCTACAATTTACGTTTTTTTAACGTACCTCGACAACAGTTCCATATGGTATTGATGTATATTACAAAAGTGCAAAACTGCTGGCCACACCTTAAAGCCAGTCAGGATGGCATAAACAAGATCATTTCAAACTTTCAAACACAACTTGTCATTATTCAAAGGTATTCCAAACATCGAAAGTTGCTGGAAACTCGGGTGAGCATTACCTGGCCATAGCAGTGCACACCAGAGTCGTGAAGCTTACCCCACAGTCTTCACTGGATAAGGCTGTTTTGGACGTAGGTCTATTGGGTTGCCCAATTAAAGGTGAGATACTGTTCTAAAAGTAAAACATCCCAGAAAAGAAATGTTTTCTAAATACGCCGCTTTAATGGATGGTTAAGAAACCAGGATGTGGGTGAGTTTTAAGATGTTACTTTTAGATTCCACTGGTACTCGTAAAAGGAAAGGACACTAAGTGTTGAAAGTCAGGTGTTAAATTCTACGTCTAATATGTACAACTCTGCACTTTATGGGCAAAAGTATTACTTTGATTTTTAATTGTATGTGATATCAATACTTGTGTATCCATAGAGCAACGTTTCAACGACAAGTTTTGTGGCAAAGGTTGGACGATGTTTGAAGAGAGCTGTTACCGGATTATTTCATCCCCGCTTGTCTGGTGGGCTGCGGAGCGATACTGTCAAGCTCTGGGTGGTCATCTGGCGGCGGTCAACACACTACGGGAGAATGAGTTCCTCCGCAGCAACATTGGCAATGGATGGATAGGGCTAAAGCTTGATTCAGTCGTCATGAAGAAACAACGGGAGGTATCCATGCTTGATTAGATCGTTTTCTTCTTTTGTAAGCTCGTCTCTTTGCACGTTTTTCATAATTAAAAGGCAAGCAAAATCTGAAAATAGGTATTTTCAGTGGGATTGTCATGTTCCTTACATATCTGCTTACGATGGATTCAAGTGCACAGTCTGTCGTATTAAACTGTCGTTGAGGGTTTGCATTTTATCATAGTTTTATACTAGTACATTCCGTACTTTTCTAGAGAATCAAAGACTTAACTTGGAGCAATGGAAGTCCTGCAGGGGACGCCTTTAAGGAGGAGAATATTGCACTTGACGCTTTCCAGGAATATCTTTGGAGACTCAATGATCCTTTATGTGCCAGTCTAGAACTACATGGTGTGTGTTCTTCTTATCCCTGTCACCTGTTGGCGATTTTTAATTGCTTTCGGGAGAGAATACCAACACAAAATAATACAACGTTCTCATTAAAACATATGATCATAAGAACAAAATCATCATTTCCATATAGTGCGTAATGGTACAGGTCGAAAGGGGCACGTCATATGAATCAGCCATATGTAAATAGAACAAAAATTTAGAAAGTTAGCTTACTTCCCGTTGGCGCATGTTCACAGTGATCACGTTATTTTAACATGTTAATAAAAAAAATCTAATGTTCTAACCAAAATTTGGTTTTGTTTCGTAAATCTGCAGGTCCATGGAGCCTCCACCCATGTAGCCTCCTCGAGAAGGAATTCATTTGCGAGAAAGGTAGGTCACAATTCAACATATATTGGCTAGCCGGATATATACTATATTATATCTAAAAATAGTATATATAATCTTTTATCTACATATACTTACACTTGACGACCACGTATGCGTGGGCAAAGTAGACTTCTAAGACACATGGCCTTCTAATATAAAAAAAACATGCCAAGAACAGAAACAGAACAAGAAAACTTACAGCAAAATTTCCACCCATATTTAATTGAGCAAATACTGCCGTGTTGTGGAAATCAATGGCAAACTGGCCGATTCCATCAAAATTTGTCGCTAGTTGTCATCCTAATTTTTTTTTTGCCACACTCTTGAAAATGACGCGGTCATCATATGTAGAGATTTGGCCGTGTGCGGTCCCAGATAGTACCGGTCGCGGTCGTGTCGGACAACTGGTCGGCTCAGGCAAATGCCTTAAACTTAATTAATGCTTACATTGATATAGGGAAACTCGGGACCGGGAAAAAGGGGTCGTTATTGCCGGATGGCCTGTGTGCAGAGGTGGTCGCTAGGGAAAGTTTGAAGTTGAAGTAGACACCGGTAATTTGTTGCTTTCTTGCTTGCCTGTCATAGATCCATCGTCACACAGTGGAGACAATACAAATAACACAACACAATGTGTCGATGGTGAATTGGCAGAAACTCAAAAAGGCGACCTTAATGCAAACGTTCCGGACATGACAGGTATTTAAACACAAATTTTATTCCATTCCATAACTTTTTGCTGAATGACAATACAATAGCTTTAACAAAAAATACTTGTCGGAAGTTTTCAAAGTGTTGGGTTTTTTAACAGAAATGTTTCACCCATTGTTTAACCCTTTTTTGAGTCTGCGACGATTGTATGGCTCGGGAGACAAGCTGTGGGAATATCAGATGTGGTCTTCCCGATGACTACCGCTGCGGACTGATCTACTCACCCGGCTACCCAGCCGCCTTCCCGCCTTCAGCTATCTGCCTGTGGACCATCGATGGTCCGAAGGGAAGTTTCGTCACCCTTCTGCTGCTGGACGTTGATTTGCCGGGCTACTCGAGTGGCGTCTGCACAAGTCGTGTGCTGCAGGTCAGGGACAGGTTCCTGACGGTAGGGTGGAACACGATTCACGGGCTTTGTCGTGGGGAGGACGAGCAGAAGGTCTATGTTTCCAGCTCCAATGACATGCAGTTGGCCATGTTGGCGACGAGTAACAGCGCTGATATCGGCGGTAGTCGCGGCTTTATGGCAACGTTCAACATCAGTACTTTTAGCCCCAGCCGCCAGGTGCACAATCTTCCTGACGATGCAGGTGAGCATTATGTCTATTTTAACAACACTTAAGATGTCATATTTAATCGAGAAACCAATGTTTATACATTCTTGTTTGCTCCTGTGTGCCACATAAAACTAATTTCAATCAACGTTAAATGAGGCTTGAATGTTTCAATGACTAGAAACAAATCTTTGCGGTTTCACAACTCATTTATCATATGCCTGATGAACTAGGGTTCATTTGCCCGTGCGGATGGCATTTGTTCCGCCGAAACTGCTACCAGACCTTCCGACAGACCGTACCGCTGAACTGGGTTGAATCAGACCTCAAGTGCCGCGAGTACGGCGCCAACTTAACCAGTGTCTCTGACCGACAGGAAATGGAATTTCTCCACGTGCTTTTGGTCACCAACGTTGTCGTCAAACGCACCGCTGATCCAAAGCTTTTCATCGGTATTTCAAGCTTGCCTGTCTTTGATATTAAGAAAACGCTGCGTTACTGATGGCATTGAATTATAGTGTATTATTAGATTTGCTAAGAGAGGATAGGAATCATTGTGTATTTAGTACGATTTCTAATGGAAAACGAGGAAATAGCGTTAGAATCACACAAGAATTTGTTATTCCAAGGAAGAAAGACAAAGGAGAGGGGAAATTATTCTACGTGTATAGTAAGTCACTATTACGGTACGACACGCCTCTAGTATATATAATGGTGTACTATGTTAGAAAGAATTTCTTTGTATCTCCAGGATTTTATGATGTCTACAGGAACCGAACCTTTGTGTGGACGGACGGCATTCCTGTGACGTATACGGACTGGTAATTACATAAGGAGTCTATATTTATCATCCATCAATACGTTTTTCTACTACTTCATTTAGTTTGAACCTACTATTGATCCTAGGCAGTCTATTCAGCTTGTTTACTCTAAAATAAAGATTCTATGTCAATAACGACTCTTGAATAGTTTTGACATATACATGAAATGAGGTTAACGGCCTTGCTATGAAAAGAACGGCTTCGAATGACATTTTAGCAATAAGTATACATTAACACATAACAAAGAGGTACGAAATTTTTCTTTTGTTTATTATTCTGGGCGCATATATAGGGTACCTGTTACATTTGCCTTGCACGTAACAACTAGTTCCCTCTTATACCTTAGGTCACAAATGGACCTCAGGACCGGATTCCCCCAACCAGACGGCGCCAAGATCAATTACTGTGTTGCCATAGTGATGAAGAACGTCCGGGAAACTGACCAATGGTATGACATGGCCTGCGATGAGCGAGACACGAGATCCTTTATTTGCAAGCGGGCCGCAGAACGAGTTACCCGTCAGGGAAATAATGGTTAGAAATTGTAGTGACATGGTTTCATTTGATTTACCTGACTGTATAAAATGACCTACAGTCAGGGCTGTCCAACTAGCCTGAGGATATTATTAAGGGCTAGCCTTGGTATCTGGAGAATTGTTCATTATATAGTTTATTATACAATATACTATTGGTGATACCAGGATAACCAGGATGTCGGTTAGGCCATGTTGATTTGATTATATGGATGACATCCTCCGGGAGCCCCAAAACTGATGCGAGCGCGCGAATAAAAAAAAAAGTTTTGCAAAAAAAAAAGTTCTTTTCATTATGAAATCTACGTGATCATGAGGGTTGAGCAAATGGCACAGAATATGGTTTGGCGAATAATGTAGTCTTCAAGTTCATTTCTTTACAATTTCGTCTTTTTTCGTTTGATTTTGGCATTCTACGACATTGGTATAGTTTTTATCAATTTTTTTTGTAACTTATGGTATACTTTTGCTCATTTTGCAACTGTTTTGTACGATTTACAGTATGGTTGAAAACTTTTTTTTTTTGGAAACGGCCGAAAATTCATGCGCGCGCGGATGTCATCCATATAATCAAATCAACATGGCCTTATGAGAAATAAACCATTCTACTACTACTACTTCTACTAACTACTATAC